AGTTTCTTCCCCTGTGGTACCCGGACTAAAGACACTTCAATCCAGGAGGTGCAGAGAAATCGAGGAAACTCAGCCGGCCAGAGACCGACGACTCTTTCTGGAAGTCCTCCCCACTGCTTACAGTCTCCGAGCTCTTCGTTACCGTCCCCTCGGTTTGCGTACTTATTCATCGCTCTCACGTGAAAATATGAGCAGTAAACTTTGGCCGAGGAGTAGTTGTGTCGCTGGTGCCGCCATACTTCCATACACAAGGTGGTTTACAGAAATATGTAGGTGGGGCTACGTGTGACGTCGCCTGCGTGCGTGGGCTAGTACAGGGACCAGGGTAGAGTGTATTATGTTGGGAGAACTGGACAGAGCACATCCAGTCCAGGAAGTGGTAAAAATACTAGTATTCGAAGTTTTGAATCAGAATCAGTGAAAATACTCCACTACAAGTGAAAGTCCTGCGTGCAAAACTTTAAACTTTAGTAAAATTATCTTATGATCAATGTGCTTATAACATAGAAAGTAACACCATTAAGTGTGAAGTAAAATGGTCCTTATCAATGTATTACAATTGTATGTTATTGGATTAATATTACTGCTGCATTAATGGGTATTTTGCATTTTACAGCAGCACATGTGTAAGGTTGAGTTATTCGAACTACTAGTGTTTAGAAAAACACTTAATACTCCAGTTTATCAGAAACAATCAAATCAAAATTACAAAATGTTGAGATATTTTTCAATAAAGAGGAAGGGTATGAAAGATTTAAATCCTCTGACATGTAAAACATGGGTTTTTCCCCCCCTCAGTTTTAAAACGTACTTATAACAAACCCATATATTTCAAATATTTAAGAAAAAAAAACTTGAAATATGACTTATGCTCTGATTGGCCTCACTTTTTCCCCCAGTTTAGTTCATCCGGCATTTAATAGTAACATGTCAGTGCTGACAGTCTTAATAAACATACAATACAAATGTTAAAGATAAACTGCATGTATGCAACTGCATTACGGTTGTTGCAAATTGGAAAGGATTGCATAAATACATCAAATAAAACCTCTTATGAAGACATGTTTTCCTTTCTCTTTCTTCCTTAATCAACAAACTACACGACACCAAGAAGTGCTGATATTTATAGAAAATGTATTGCATACAACATTCTTTGTATAACATTATCAAAAGGGTTCCACTATACCTTGGTAGAATGTAATAACAGTGGCTCTAGTGATTTCAGAATACTGAAGAAATCAAAGTAAATAACCATCATTTCCATAAGCAGTCAAACAACAAACATCTGTTATGTTACATAAAATACATGTGGAGCTGTTCAAATGCATAACAAGATTGGTTCTTTGAAAAAAAGGCCAGATCGGTCCTCACTGGTGGTCGGTCCCTGACATTGATGCATGATCAGGATTGATGCTCTTTAACCTTCCTGATCCAACAGCTTCTGTTGCGTCAACATTACAATCTCCTCCATCACTTCTGGCTTCAAGATGTCCTTGACCTACAGAGACAGAATAAAGCAAAGAAATTATAAATCAATTACACATTACACTAAAATGATCCTGGTAAACAGTATTTATATAGCAATGGCTTTTACTATAAAATGTAACAAGAAGAAATCACAACTTAAAACCAACCAGCACAATAATGCACATTTATTTTCACATTTTTGAATGCAGTAAATATTTCAATGACATTAGCACCTTAGCTACATTTTTGTTTTTGATTACAGAGACAGACCAAAAAGAAAAGCCTTTAGCAAAATGTTCTACTTCAGTTGACCAGAAACATTATTTGGGCTTGGTTAGCTTGGGATATTAGCAAAAGAGAAAATGTTGCATTATCAAATATTTGCCTTATGTCAATGTGTTATGACATCAGTTCCCTGCCAAAAAAAGGCGCCCATGCCTGTTCCACTGTGCTTCAGAAGAACAGTAATTCAATTGTTTCTGTTGTTTTCAAATATGGCCACCAGATGGCACAATATATCATGGAAAATGTCCACATTTTTATTGCCATTGCTTTAGATATAGGAAACACCAGGCTCAATTAAGAAACGCATAACATTTTTAATCTGAAATACGTGACATAGTGCATGAATATTTGGTCCCTACCTGGTGATGAACTGAAGATTCGTAGCAATAGAGAACACTGGTGTCAAACAAAAGGACCTTGTGCGCAGCCAAAGCCAGTAGACAGTTCCTCAACCGTGAAATCACTTCTCGATCCGACACACTGACAGGCTGAAAGGTCAGGGACAAGAGACGCACAAACAAACAAGTTTAATACAAACATGGGAGTAGAATTTGGATGCAGTACATTAGACTTTTTTCCCTTTTTTTTTTTAAGTAATAGTGTTGCAGATTACTCCCATATTTTACAATATCTAAATTAGACAAGGTTAGCTGTTAACTTCTTGTTTAAATCAAGTATTCATTGACTAATATATTTACTAGGGAGACTAAATTAAATACTATTTTGTTCCCACCTCCAGGCTGGTGTAGAAGCCCCCGGCCTCCTCCTCCAGTTGTTCCGGTGTGGGATACAACCACACAAAGCCGTTATTCCCGAGGATCATGGATGCACCACATGGCAGGTTGTGGAAATGTGTTTTCTGCCTCTTGATCAGAGAAGGAGAAAGCTGTACCAGCACTCCCTGACCCAACTGATGGGCAGAGAAAGTAGAAAACAGGATATTAGGTCAAATTAGGAAAGAGGAAATAGTATAACTACCTTTGATTTGTATTCAATTGTGTAATAGCTGAGAAACTAATGACATTGTGGAAATGTGCATATTTGGGAATTCCAAAGTCTGCAAGCCCCATCTGCGATAGCATTGTCCACCCACACGAGTGTCCTTGCCCATTGTTTACAATCTGATTTGTTTGATTGCACCACATACAATGAGTCAAAGAGCAAAGTGAACCATTATTTTGGGGTATAACAACATCTTTACTCTGTGTACACTGGCATAACTTACTTTTCCATACTTTAAACTACGGGTATGAAGTGATAGGGCTCCATCTGAGAAGACGGACTGCACCTCTGCCTAAAAAACATAGAAAAAAAACAACAATAAAATGATAAGTGAGAATAGATAGACAAAGCAGCAAATTAAAGATTATATTTCACTGTGACTTACACTGATGAGATCGCCCTCCTGAAGGTATTCCCTCATGGTGAGCTCATCTTCTGCAGATCGTCTCCTCTAAAAACAGAAAATCAGAGATTAAAAAGAGGCATTGTTCAGTTTACTGTGAAGTACACAAATCACTTCTCCCAGAGATTTTTTTTTAGCAGCTCACCAGCTCTCCTCCAGGCAGATTGACAGATGACAACAAGAGAACAGAGTCCAGACGGGAGTTGGTTTCCACCTTCCACCGTTTCTGTTGTACCTATACATATCATCAAAACACACAAATCTTAGTTAGAATATTGGCTAGAAAATATATATATTTTAGGATACATTTAAAATGTCCGGTATCATATATTAAAAGAGATGTGGCGGCAGTGTTTACCTCTGTGATTCTGCCAACCACCACATCTCCAACCTCACCGTTGAATCTGAAATTCAATGATATACAACCAAAATAGTCACACAACTTCTGTTACAACTTGTAAAACCAGTAAACGTTTGAGAGTATCTATTTGATAACTTACCTGGTCTTTAGTGGTTTGACACAGATCAGCTTGTCTACTCTCTGCACCTCTCCAGCAACTGAAGCAGTCAGCTTCTCTTCATCAACATAGGTACCATGTCCCCTGAGGATAAATGACAATATGGAGAAAGTTACATTAAAGTTGTTATGTCATCCTGACCTGCTGTGAGGATTAACACTCATTACTGGTGATGGTAGATAAGACTTATACATCTTCCATAAAAACAGCTAAACAAATATTATTATGGCAAGAGTACAACCAATAACTCATCCCTTTTTAAACGTCTTAACATTTTAAGGTAGACAATGCTAGTGCAGCCTGCATTAAGATGCTGCTGCTGATGGTCAATCCACATCAAATCTATTTTATGGTACATTTTCCAAGATAATCAAGCCCATTTTAACGGTAGTTGATTTCCCTCCATGACAACATGTTGAGGCCACCATACACAGCAGCCGGTCACACCACCGGTGCTACACCCAGATGCCTACCTCATGAAGCCGGTGTCTGAAGTGATAACATCGCCCGGGACGACTAGATCTTTTCGGTCAAAAGCAGAAAATGTTAGCGACACTGGTTTCTGAATAGTTGGCAATCTCATATCAGCAGCCATGCTTCTTCTTCTTTTGCTTCTTCTTCGTCTACTTCCCTCTCTGGCAGCTAGCATACAACTACACGTGTTATACCGCCACCTACCGAAGTGTGGGTCTAAATGTTTTTCTGCCTAACATTTCTAGTAGTTTCAAAAGAGCTAAATATCTCGAGCAACATATTTGAAATGGTAAATAGTTATGTTTTAGAGTATGCTTTGTTGTGGGGTTATGCTTGCTGTAGAACAAATGGCAGAGAACATGTAAGGCCTTGAAAAAGTTCAATTATTGAAGGGTAGCCTACCAGTCTGGAGTGCTTTAATAAATGTTACCCTAATTTCCATCATGCTCAATCTAACCCGGAGTTTCTTTCTCATTTCCATGTTTTATTTGTTCTGCTACTAACGCCAAAAAAAAACATGTCAGACCCTGCTTTTCTGGATGGCAAACTACACAATTAGACGTGAAAAATGTTAGAGGCCAACATTCATTGTTCTTTTTCTAAGTCAAATGTATGAGGGGTTTATCAAGGTATCGGCATCGGAGACGCATGTGTATGTATACTGTAAAGTGGATATGTATTTTTCAGCATGATTTATCAGACATTCCGTTGAAGACATGTTATGTTTACACCAGCAGATGTCAGCGTCGAGCCACGTTGCCATCACGCCACCGGGGGGATTCGCATAACGGAGTGCTGACGTCACATGTCAACACTACGCAAACGTCTCCTTAGTGGCCAATCAGCTTGAAGCCACAGAGACTCTTGTAAAGATGGCGACTGTGGGGCACAGAGGAGTGAAAACTGGACCCTTTACCGTTATCAAACATAGCTGCTCCAGGGACAGTAACAATTGACACGGCAGCGGGAGCGAAAGCTAATCCACCCGTGTGTCAGCAGCAGAAAGCTGTTCGGTGCTGGGAACTGTCACTGCGGGCCTGCTTGCTTTTGTTTTCGGTTGTCGTTGCCTTGGATAGCTTATTAGCTTCAACTTGGAAAGCGAATGCTAACCCAGGGCTAGTCTTTTAGCTCCATCGGCTGTTGGGAGCTCTCTCTACGGCTTTCATGGATTGATATGCTGGTTTTATAATGATGTATTGCATGTAGCTATTTAAAGTTTGAATTGTAACTCCTATGACTCGCTTGGATTAAACACTTCAGGAGGAATAAGGGGTGCCGAATACCTGGCATTGCGACACTCTTTTGAGTGCCGAGGCGGAGTGAGTTTACCGTCATGTATTTTCTAACCGGCTGGCCACGGAGGCTGCTTTGTCCGCTGAGGAGTGAAGAGGAGCCGTTCCACGTCCAGCCCAGCTCCCAGAGGTTTTACTTCGCCGTGCTGTCAGAGACCCAGCTCAGCATCTGGTTTAGTCGGGTAAGTGAAGCCTGCCTCGCTTCAGTCATACTCAGCTGTACCGACAAAAACAATGGGTACTGTGCTGCTTTCATTTGGGCTTACATGTTGCACATAGTATACCTTAGTTACCCTATTACCCATACTGTTCAACCACCATTATTTTTTAATCGGTTGCACTACTGCGTGGCATTCTGGCTGTCTGCCCGACATATTTATTAAAAAGGTAATAAATAAACATGTACAGCAACCATGGTGTCATGAGTGATGAGCTGGAGGTAATTATGAATGTGTTGGCAACCTGTGCTAACTACACACCTATCACACAGGTATCCGTACGCATTAGGACAGTGTGAGTATATCCGTATACGTGTGACTCACTGTCATAAAGACACTTGTTTGTGAATGGCATTCCACGTGCATATTTCCTCCCATTTACTCACTCATTAATGACAAAGGCTGGGTTTAATTTTTTCAGTCAGAGGCACTGAAGTTCACTTAAGGGAATGTTCCATGTCAGATAGAAGAAAGGTGTCCACTAGTTGAGTTTTTCTAGTACATTTCGACCTTTTTCTATTTGTATCACTCTGACCCAGAAGGCTCATTGAGTTCAAAGTGTATGGTGTGTTCAAAACAAATACTCTTGACTGCATGGTGACATTTTAACTGGTTGATTATCCCTGGTTGATATTCAGTACTTTTGGTGACAAGGCTCCTCAAGTTCAAAGTTTAAGTTACTATCAGCAAGGGAATTACAATAGTGTTTAAAACAAATACCCACTGACCACATGTTCAGGCAAGAGATCAAGAGCTTTTAGGCTGCCAGAGTTAATGATTATGTAAATAACTGTCTCAGCACATCATTTGATCCCTGCAACTGCAGTTTTTTCTAAATTATAGCATAATACAGAAGCAAAGCTGCTTTTCAAGACATAGTGTGTCTTGATGGGTTATTCTCTTCAATGCATCATCTGAAGGCCAGTGTCGACTTGCTTTCAACAAGAGTTTAAAAAACAAAAAATGTATTCTTGGGACTTTTGGGGTTGTGAGGTATGACTAAACACAAAAGGGCCTTGCTCGAAATGCACCCTCATTCAAAAATATTGACCCCTTTAAAGTTTCATGTCAAGAACAGCTGCTTAAATTGATTCCGATTATTGCCCCTGAAGTAGCTGGTCTAGAGCCAGGGGACCTGTACAGTAAGCTGAAGGATAGTGTCTTAAACCTGCATACATAACAGACCAGAATCGCTGTGTGAACAGAGAGAGAATATTACAATTCCGACCTTAGAGAAAAAAACAAGAGATGAATAGTAATAGTATAAGCCAGTGTTCTGTCAAAATTATGAATGCTGGTACTGGTTATCTTTTTCTCAAGAGAGAAATGCCAAAAATAATTATTTCTACGAAAAGCTTGGTGTCTGCTGGGAGCAGATATAAGAGGGAACAATGTTTTTCAGGACAAGGGGAAAAAATCCTCTACGAGTTGACAAAAAACATAAAAAAGTGGCATTTAGTGAGTCCTAACCAAAGACTGTTTTAAGGTTTAAAAAGTGGTGCAGAACAATCCAGTACAGAGAATTTAATTGTGCAAGATAATGGCACCTTCCACAGATGAGTTCTCATTTTTACCATTGTTTATATACATTCATTAGATATTGTAACTGCAATGACAACGAACATTTCTGGCTGTCAAGCCATTTGTTACTGAGGATTTCCTCTACCTAGACAAGTTAGTAACTTAAATGTTGCAGAAATGCAGAATGACATGTTGAATGTGATTCCCCTTTAGCACTGTTTCCGGGGTCCACACCAGCACCTTGTGAAGTAGAAAAGTCCTATGAAATTCCAAGAAGCCCTGTGCTGTGAGCCCTGTGAACTGTAAACTCCAAATCTCATTTGTTTTTTAAAACCACATATTCTGCAATGCTGCTACGGAGAGGGGCGTATTGATTTGATAACAGGCATTTGAGCACATTGTTTATAGCAGTCTGTGTTCTATACAGTTTGTATATTATTTAGGTGTGGCACTGGCAACAATGGATCAGGGTCACTGTTTATTTCCTGAGGCCCACTCAGGATGTGACCATGTTTTCCTTCCCCTCTTTCTTAAGAACTTTGCCTGTGAGTGTCAATGAGGCGTTCAGGAAAAGGATAGTGTCAGGAATGTCGATTGGAGACACTTCTTCCTCTTGACATGCACCTTTCACATCTGTTCTATCCATTATCTCACTTCATAGCATGTTTACACACAGGGATCTAGTTGAGGGTTTTGTTTTTCAAATTTTAAAAAGAAGTATCCTCTCAGAATGAATGTAAATACTATATTCTTCTACATACCAACAAGCAATTAATTATGTTGCTCAGGTTATTTGTCATATCGGTGATTGTAAATCTGCCATTTCCCATCAGCCATCACGCCTATTTTCTTTAATCCTTCCTATCTATCCTCGACCTCGGCCAGCGCAGCCTCGTTCCGACCGAGGCGCAATCGCTTAATCCGTGTAGCACAGTAGCTTAGCCTTTTAGTCATTCTGCTCTGTCATCTTACAAGAGCCTGGAGGCAGGTCACCATGTCTAGGAATAGAGGGATAGAGATATTGGCGAAGCTCCATTGGTACCATAGTAGGCCTTTGGGTGCCTGCGAAAATTAGCCACATTGTGTGTGTATGCTCATGTTTGGTTGCACTAGTGTGTGTAAATATCTACGCTCCCCTGGGATTTATTTCGTTACAGCAGCTGACTGAATTTAATTGTGGTTGAGCAGTGGAAATGGCAACTTAGGAGAACAAGCTTGAGCCACTAGTTCCCTATAAACCACTTCTCTTTTAGGCTAAATGTAAATTATATATACTGGTGGTTTATTTGGGATGTTGTCATGCAAACACAGGTCCTTCCGTTCTGTTTGCAGGCCTGTCTGTGTTGTTGAATCCTTCTGACATTTGAATTAATAGTTCATTCCCTTTGCCATTTACGTTTATTCCAGATTAAGTTTGAGGTATTTGTTTTGCAGTAAATGGGATCTGATATTAGTCAATCAATCAATCAATCATTCAATGTTTATTTATATAGCCCAATATCACAAATGTTACATTTGTCTCAGTGGACTTCACAGTTTGTACAGAATATCAGTATGACAATACGACACCCTCTGTCCTTAGACCCTCACATCGTACAAGGAAAAACTTCCAGAGAAAACCCCCACAGTTTTAAAGGGGAAAATGGGAGAAACCTCAGGGAGAGCAACAGAGGAGGGATCCCTCTCCCAGGACGGACAGATGTGCAATAGATGCCGTGTGTAAATTGAAAAGATAATACATTTAAAACATAGGTAGTCCACATGTTTGGAAATGCGTGTGTCTATAATAAGAAGATGAATCCACGAGGATATCCATCCAGGACTCATGATCCAGGACCACAGCAACAGGCACAGCCACGACTCAAGATCCAGGGCTCGCGATCCAGGACTCAGGACCACAGCAACAGGATCAGCCACGCCTCAGGATCCCGGCGTAGATAGACACCAAAAAGAAATTTGGGGAAGCTGGGTTATTCGGAACATGAGAGTACACAGGTACAGACAGAGAGAAGGAAGAAGTAAGGTGCCCCCCGGCAATCTAAGCCTATAGACAATCTAAGCCTATAGCAGCAAAACTAGGGGCTGAATCTAATCAGCCCTAACTATAAGCTTTATCAAAAAGGAAGGTCTTAAGCGCACTCTTAAAAACGGATAGGGTGTCTGCCGCCCGAACACAAACTGGAAGCTGATTCCACAAATGTGGAGCTTGATAAGAAAAGGCTCTGGCTCCCATTGTACTTTTAGAGACTCTAGGAACAACCAACAACCCTGCATTCTTGGAACGCAATGCCCTAGTAGGACAGCAGGGTATAATGAGTTCTTTAAGGTAAGATGGCGCCTGCCCATTAAGGGCTTTATAGGCGAGAAGAATCATTTAAAATCCTATCCTGTGTTCTATAGGGAGCCAGTGTAAGGCAGCCAGAACAGGAGTAATGTGGTCCCTTTTCCAAACTCTGGTTAGTACACGTGCTGCAGCATTTTGAATTAGCTGAAGCGACTTAACTGACTTCTTGGTACACCCTGATAATAAAGAGTTACAATAATCCAGCCTTGAAGTAACAAATGCATGGACTAGTTTCTCTGCATCGTTTTGAGGCAAGATATGCCTGATTTTTTGCAATGTTACGTAGATGAAAGAAAAGTCCTTGAAATTGATTTTATGTGGGTGTTAAAGAATAAAACCTGATCAAATATAACACAAATATTATTGCAATTGGTAAGACGAACAAGGTTTCTCTTTCTGTTTCTAACAGGGCAAGCTTTACCAGTACAGGTATCGTTGGCATTATTAAGATTTCATGCTACGAGAGAGACACTATCAGATCGAGATACCTGAAACCTGCTCTCATGACGGTGACCGGGTACGAGGTGTAATGTTACACAACTGGAATTACATAAGATCTTTCCCTGCTTTTGTTATCTGGCCATCGTGATTCAGTGTCCAGTGTTCTTTAACGTTGAGACCTGTTACTTGTCTTAACTCGTTTCATTACATTGACAGTATGACTCTATTATTGTGCTCACCACTTTTGGTTGAAGTTGCACATTTACAGCCACTCAATTGTTGTTATTTGACTGCAGATAAACACAACATTGTTTGTGGTGATATATTAGGGCGTTGGAATGTACTGTATTGTGATCCAGACAAATATCTACCCTAGCGATACAGGGGTAAAAGCAAATTAAGGGCAACTGCCTCTGTCTGGTTGTGTACGCCTGTTTATCTTTCAATCTGTGTTGTATGGTTTTGCTTGCTAGGCTCAAATGTAGCCTATTACTCAGAGTAAATTAGCCTCACAAGGAGAGGGCAAGCAGTTCAACAACAGTCAGTCATCCTGTTCTCCAGGAGATACTTTTATCTGTACTGCTTCTTTGCCTAAAAACCAACATGTGAGGCAATAAAATGAGTAGCAGCAAATCCCCTTCCAGCGCACTAGTTGGTAAACGTGATACACTGCCAACTGGCACGGAAAATGTTATTGCATTTTCTAAATATTCAAATCAAAATTCAGTTACAAATACAGTTTTCATAAATGGTGGTGTGTTGCTGGTTTGCTTTTAGTTAGTCTCTGATTTCCCCAGCAGTCTGCATTCAAAGATTTAACCATAAAAAAGGACATTGCATTAAGTTGTATTTTTGGTTTTGTTCAAATATAATTTTAAGTAAGAACCTTAAGAAAACTGACAAAGTGAACAATTTCCTCGTAAATGTCCAACCAACAAAACAAAATGCTTTCATTTTTCTGTAAATATATAAAATATTTTAAAATCAACCTTAAGGCATTTTTAGCACCGATGGTTATCCTGTGGATGTTTTTGGTTGTAATATGTGACTGTCTTTGACCTGCAGTATGTTTAACGTGCTCATTTTCTTTCCCTATTCCCCACCCACAGCCCAGTGTTTTGATAGTCAGCTATATCGAGTCTGCAAAGGCGGCTACCCAGTTTGGCTTCTACCAGAAAGCAGAATGGAAACCAGACGACTCCATGATAGCTGTGGCGGTAAGTACAGCGATGCTCCTTCTCATCTCACGTTTGACGCACTTTGCACTTTGCACTGTACGTACATTGATATCAGGTCAGCAGAAAGTCTACACATCCTCCGTAGCAGACTGAAAACCCATCTGCTTTAACTGCATCTTGGCCAATGGAAAAAACATAATTTCCCTCTTCTGTATGTGACACAACATTTGGCTTGTTTGAAGCTAATTTTGTAATGGTTTGGCTTAGTGAAAGCTAATGTAATTTCAGGATTCTTGCTGTTTCTTAATAGTTGAATGCACTTATTGTAAGTTGCTTTGGATAAAAGCCTCAGATAAATGTAATGTGATTACTCCAAGAATGCTAATTGGATTTTCATTCTCTCAAACTCTGACGCTAAGCCAACAGTCAGTGTTGTCGTGTTTTTCCATGTGTGGTTGACTGTCTCCTGTAATCACCCCTTTGTCTCTTCCTCTGTCATCATCTCCTTTGTCTTACCCGTTTTTCTTTTTACTTTCCATGACAGTAATGTCCAATCATCACTTATTGCACGTGGAGTTTCAGTTAGTGGATTGAAGATGCTTTAAGTAATGAACCACTGAAAATAGGATTTGATCAGGATCCTTCAGTTATATTAAACCACAAGAGCAGCTTCCTAACAAATGCAGTGCATCAGAGTAACATGACACATGCTAGAAAGAGAAAAATGAAAGTGTGGCTGCGCTTCTCTTAACAGCAGAGTTTGTCCTATTTTTAGTTTGCTCCAGATAAAAGGAAGGTATTCCTCCAGCAATAAGAGCAGGATTGAAAACAACTCCCTAAGCGTCCTACATCATGTAACCGCTTCACTGTTAATCAAACTGTCTTCCAATGCAGTGAGCCACGGTGTCACATTAGTGTGCAGTTGCAATTTCCAAATGCTACGGAAAAACTGCAAAGGCAATGTTGAGAAGTACTTCGTATATTATAGGTAAATTAATAAAGGTTTAATGAACAGACCGGCCTATAACATGTTGAGATAACATTTGAAAGACACAGTTAAACTTTGCTCCCTATCTGAAATCTGCTGACCACTATACTATCTGACTGTGAGTCAATCAACTCAAAGTGGAACTGTTTTTTTTAATAACAGAGCATGATGTTTTGTGTTTAACCTATCACAAATGTATTTACTTTACTATCAAAGTAGCCAGCCAACCTCTTTTAGATTTATAAATAAGGTAGACATCTCTCACCTTTGCCCTTGAACCCTGACCTCATTCTTAACAGGTTGTGGTTGTGGGCGAGATATTTTTGGAACAGATTACAGCAGTCTGAAAGGATCTTGCTACATCAGCTTTTTTGGAGCTAGCCTTTTTTGTTGTGTGTTTTGCAAATCGATACAAATTCACTCTAATGGGGGGAGGACACACAGCCTGTGCCCGCCTGAGTAATCATGAGATATCTCCCCAGGTTCTTCCTTCCTGTGATTATACCCTTGCCTTTGTGTAAACTCGTGGTAGAGACCCACAACCCAAAACAAAATGCAAATGATCAGCCCACGAAGCTTGAAAGATATCATTTAAAAAATTCATGCTCATTTCCATGGAGATAAAAAGTTCTCGCCAGCATGTTACGCATGTATGTAAGCCAAGCCCACACATGACTACTGATGTTAGTTTGGACACATCTCTCCTACACTGTCACGCTTTTCGGATCATCAGCTCATCTTTAACAAGATGAAACATGAAATTAAGACAGTATGTTCATAATAATGTCCACTGTAATATAAGCATTATTTTTATTTTAGGGCAGTTTTTCAAAGCAAATCAACATGCCTACATTTCTGTGAAGCATTATGCAACACTTTCTATTTTATATTCTGACATCATCACTGTCCTTGTTTCTTACACACAGGTTTCACTTAGATTGAGAGCACAACCAATATAACATTTAAAGTGGACCTATCATGCTATATTATAATAATATAGTGTAGGACCATACCTATATAAGGCATATTTTTTCAAAATACCAAACAGATCATGCATTTTAGCCATGCCTCATTTTGCTCAATTTGAAATTGTTTAGCTCTGTTTTTGCAAGGGCTGATTCTGTGAGAACAGCACCACCTACAGGCCTGGCATATGCACTACAGCGTCTCCAGCGCTTTCGAACGGCAATGGCCGTGGCTGTCTCCTCCTGATTGGTGGAGTTGGCCCAATAGCCGTAGCGCCACTGTCCTGACGTCAGGACAGTGTTCAAATCTGGATCAGTTTTTATCAGATCCGTTGCAGCCCCTTTTTTAGAGATTTGGGTATGGAGGAAAATAGAGAGGGTTGTGTTTTCTGACACTTGGTGAGTTCCCTGGAACACCGGGGACACATATTCATGTATAAAAGACGTACAAAAGTGCATTTTGCATGGATTTGTTGCTCTTATCTAATTTCAGGATTGAATGTAAATCGTTCCTATCAAGTGTAATCCTCGATAAGAGGATTTAATTAGTGTTAAACTAATGTCTAAATGCATGCTGAGAGGGGGGATGCTGCATCTGCTGTGTAAAAGGTTTTCATGTAAATAACCAGAAAGCTTATCAGCATAAATCTGTGATATAAGCATTACTCAGCTTTCCAGTGTTGCATCTGGTCTTGTGAATTCGTTTGAGAGAAAATAATGCCCCTCAAAGATGATAACCATCTAGTTTCATTGTTTACCCAAAACAAAGGGTGCAAAGTTTTCGCGTAACTGCTTTGAAAACAAAATACATTCTGGAAAAATGATAGCGCTGAACTTCAAGATACATCAATCGCTGACATTTTTGTGTTCTTGCTACCATTACTCATGATTGCTCGCTGAGTGATCGTCACCGTAGATGACTGTGCAAATAAAGTGTCTTGTTGAGTAATCTCACAAGGCAAGCGCCCGAGTCAGCAGATGACTCAATCGGCTTCCAAAGGCCATGTGATCTGCAACATATAGGGCGACCGCCAAGACCCAGATCAGAAGCAAACGGCATCAAAACAAACCGCACACGGATTAAAACGATTAGATCACACTGGTAATACTTTGTGTTTGTGTGCGCTTGTTGTATCTCTGCTTACACGTGTGTGGACTCAGTTAGATGCCTGCAGTACTACAGCTTTTGCAGGTAAACATTCGAAAAGTAAACAACAATAGAACGCAGGTAATTTAAAGCAAACAGTTGTGTATTGGTACAATATTGAAATAATATTTAGACATTGTAACTCAGAATGGAAATCTGACCACCGTAACAAAAACTAATGCTATGTTTTCTTAACAAAATAATCCAGCAGGATAATATGTCTTAAGAGTATAGTTTTACATTCATCCACATATTGCAGGACCAGATCATTTCCTGTAGAAATGTTTATGTTCTTGGGTTTAGCAGTTTTATCCTGGATAAGCCATATTATTTGGTTTCTTTCATAGAGTATCATAACCATATTTAGAATGTGCTGGATCAGAGTTTCTCATTTATGCAGCATATAGCCGCTTAATACAAAACAACCTGTTGATTTTAAGGTTTATTAAAAAGAAGGATGTATCTTGAATGCTGCAGCTCTGTATTCAAGAAGTTCAGAATCCCTTTTTTTCTATGTTTCATCAAATACCTTAGAAAAGCGTATTTTGCTCCTTTTTGTAAACACTGCCAGGAAATACTGTCAAGGACACACGAGGCTGTTTAGAAGTCAGTCTGGCAGAGGGCTGCACATGTTTCTCCCAAAACACCACCACTTGTCCTTGAAGCCACTGCTGAACTCACTGCATCAGGAGTTAGAGGGGCTACCACACACAGACAGACAGACAGACAGACAGACAGACATAATATTTTGTACCATGCTTAGAAATGTCCAGATAATGCCTCAGTTAAGGCAATTTGGAAAATAAATGGAGACACTGTCTAATAGATGAGAGTAACAGATGTGTCATTTCCTGGCGAAATTAGGTCCCGCCCACTTTTGGGAGGAAAACATTCGCTGTCATTTGGATGGCGGTAAACACAGATTCAGAAGTTTTCGGCAATGACATAAAAAAATTAAGTAAACCGCGCTTTTTTTTAATCTACAAGAAGCCCAATTATGATGGTTAGACAGGCAAACTATTAGAAAATGTCGTTGGACAGACATGATCTGCATCGATTTGTAGTTTAATTTAAATCAATAGGGAAATGATGTCCTGTGGCAGGCAGCAATCTAACACACTGTGATTTCTGAATTGGATCGTTTCCTTTACTGTCCTTTTTTCTGTAGTGGAAGTAAAGAAACCGTAACTCGCCATTTATTTGTTGTTTGAGGTGCAAAATATGACTCGGCAGCTTTAAGTGCCGTATGTGTTACTCCCTTCTCTGGTCTCATGTAAATTGTCAACACAGAAATGGCAGATTGATTTAAAATAGTGACTACTCTGCATAAGGTATTGGAAAATATTACCACAGTGACCTCTTGGTGTCCGTCTCTGCCCCCCCTCCCTTTCATCCCCACCTCTCCTACTGAGTACACATGAATGAATGCAGTGAATGTGTCTGGAAAAGCAGTAACTCGGGCTCTGCCCCGGGCCAATCATCCAAACACAACAGGGAGCAGGTGGAGGAGCTAAAAAGAACAGTTCCCTCACTTTCTGGGCTCCAAAAACACATAGTTAGATTTTCACTCATGACTGGTGAAAAGTATTTAATTTTAATGATGGGGAGACTGGCCATGCTATGTGTTCTCCCAGTAGTCCTGTGGCATACATGTGTATCGACTGGAAACACCACCATCGCAACCACAAACTGTATGTGATTTGCAACAGAAATCCCTCTTTATTGCCAACAATGTTGAAGCCCAATGTGAGCTGCAGCTTTAATTCTAATGAAGCTTTCAAATAACTCATTATCCTTGAGTCCCAGATGAATTCAACTTGAAAAACCTTCTTTCATCAAACCTGAAATACCCTTTAGGAGGATGTTATCATATTTTGTTGTGCGTTTCTTTCTCTAAGTTTAATCTTTTTGGCACTTCCTTTCACACACAAAATGTTTA